CCCCCGCTGTTCCAAAGGGGCTTAAAATATTAAAAAAAAAAAAAAAAAAAAAAAAAAAAAAGGCCAGTAAGTGTAGAGAAAAAGTTCAACTCATCTAGCCAGTATTGAAAAAAAATGCAAATTAAAACAAGGTTCATTTTTAGCCTAATAAATTAATAAAGAAAAAAAGCAAATGGGTAGAACTCACTACTGGCAAGAATGGAGTCAACTCTCACATCCTGGGCTAGCAGGAAGGTTCAGTGACTCTTTCTGGGAACCAATTTGGATGACATATACCGTGATTCCGACTCTTGGACTCAGTAATTCCACTTTCAGACCTCTTCTCTGAGGAGCTAATTAGAAAGCCGAATACACAGTCCACTGCAGCACTATTTATATAAAGTCTGAATAGCTACATAGCCAACAAAAGTGGGAATTTTTACCATCTTAATTATAGTATATCCATGCAAATTTATTATATTAAAAAGAGTTCTTTTTTAAAAATAAAGTGTATTTCTTTCATGAGCGTGATAGGTAAGTATCCTTGGCAGGGTCTCGCCAACCACGATCCTCCCAGCTAGCCGAGATCACAGGTGCACAGAGGCACACCCACCATGTTCAGGTCTACCCCAAATCCAAACCCAGGCTTCCCATATAGCTCAAGCATTGCATACCAGCATCCTACTGCCTGCTGGGCCTACAGAGTCCTCAGTGACATGGGGAGCTGCATATATTTCATGTTAAGCAACGAAAGCAGGATGTAAAATTATAGATCCAAATTTATCTCAACCACATTAGGAAGAAAGAAAGGACAAAAGGAAAGAAAGAATCTGGCATAAAACACTGCAAAGTCACCTACCCAAAAGTGAACAGCACTGGCCTTTGGATGGTTGGGTCAACAGTCTTAAAAAAATTCTTTGCATCATTTTGGTATTGTGTGCAAATTTAGTAAGATGAATATGCACTGCTTTGATAATCATAAAGGAGGGCAACAGAAAGCAACTATGGCTTAGGGCCAACTAAGGGTGAAACTCATGGCCAGCTCCGTAGCATAGTGGTTAAGCCCTGTGCGTAGGGAACTAGATCCTACATGGCCAACCATGGTTTGAATTCCAGACCCAGTGGCTTGAAAAACACACTGGCACTTCTGTGTGTGTGCCCAAAAGGGAAGAGAAATGGAACAAAAGGACTGTGGCATGACTATGCCCCACTGGGAAGAACTTTCTCTCTCTGACGATTAAAACAAATCATCAGATTTGCACAGATCATCCTATTTGGTTAATCTTAATACATGACTCATTTGAAAGTAACAAACTAATAGTAGACTAGCATATGGATATACACCTCATATCTTGTGGTGGGTTCACACCAAAGCTACGTGGCTTATAGGCTGAGAGTCCACAGAGTGTTGCTGGTATTGTTATACTGCCCAATAATATTTGCTGATATTTATAATTGTTATGAGTCAGGTTTCTGGGTAATATTCACTTTAAAAACTTCAGGCTACGGACAAGCAAATGGCGTAATGGTTACATTGCTGGACTTCAGTATAGCTGACCAGCAGTCTGAGCCTTGGACCTGGCAGCTTGAAACTCACACCAGGCATGTGTGCATGCGTGCCAAAATCCTGAGAGGAGACTGGACGAGAAGGAATTTTGGCGTGGCCGTATCTACGGAGGGTGAGGGATGATTTTTCACTTTCTGTCTCTCAAGTGAGCACATACTCCCTTTAGCAAAAATCTCTCTTAAAAAAAAATTGGCTAAAATGCTCAAACTTTTTTTGACTATATAAGAAATGGATCTTAGGGGCCAGCAAGTGGCATGGTGGTTGAGGTACTGGACTCCCACGTGGCTGATTGTGGGCTGAGTCCTGGGCCTAGCAGCTTGCTTTCTCACCCCCCTCCCTCGCCCCCACATCTCTCTCTGGTGAGCACATGTACCTTAGAGCAAATTTTAAAATATTGGGTTATCTGAAGAGTCATGATGTATTTCTCCATGCTTTTCTATGGATTTTTCTACTTTTTTATAAATAAATAATTCTTTAAAAATATTAAAGAAATGCATTTTGTATCACAAACCTGCTTCATGTAAATATAAAAAACTGAAATGTTTTACCCTCTCCCCATGCAAAGTGTGTTGAAATTTTCCATTCTATTCTACACTATATATATATATATAGTGATAGGTAAGTATCCTATATACATATATATATATGTATATATATAATTTCCGCCATAGATGGAGGCAGACAGACAGATAAGGAAGACAAGTACTCCTAACAGGGTTTTCACACTGTGGTCTGCTTCCGGTCCCAGCTGGCCCTGATCGTGGGCATGTGTGCACCCATGTGGTGCATTTAGGGGTGTCCTGAGTTGTGAACCCAGGACCTTTCCTGTGTAAGTCCAGTTATATACCATGGTGTGACAGTCTGGTCCCTATGTTGCTTTTTAAAATGCTGCTTATGACCCATGATAGAAGATAAACTTGTTTTTGTAATATTAGATGTATCCCAATCAGGACGTTCTCCATGATGCACTATGACACACGGACCTCACTTCCAGAGGATTTTCTCTGGTACTACCTACCCTTGAAGAATGGGGCCTTTCTCCAGGGAGGCAGCTCAGATTGGCTCCCTCCGCCAATGCCTGAAGCAATGCTAACTAAATCACTCTGTAGGATCGCCTCATAGACTATACACAGATGATGCCGCTGATGATGGTGACACAACAAAAATGCCTCCACACAGCATGGTACAGCAGGGCAGGAAGCAGAAGCCAAAGGGCCTGGGTTCAGGTTCTGCCTCTGCTGTCCGCCCACCATGTGACCTGGGCATGGGCCTGCCCTCCTTGACATCAATGGCTAGAAATGTATAAGGACATCAGCCACTGGAAATGCTCTGAGGACTGAGGAAATGTGTGCCAAGTGATCTGTGTGATAAAGCGCCCACATAAATATTGGCTGCCGGTGCTGGGTCAGTATTTCTGTGCATAATCCGGCAATGTACAGAAGAGCCGAAGCCAGTCATGCTCTCTGACACAACCTCGTATTGTGGAGCACGACCTGTGGAGCAATAGCACAACAACGAAAAGGGGGGAGAGGTCCCTTATGTCATATTTATCGTTACTAACTCCCAGGCAGCCGCCATTGTCCAACAGGTGGGTAGCTTGGAGGCAGAGTCTGAAAGCACAACAGATAGGCAAGTTTGATACATTGTTGCTGGGATGAGACACCAAAAAGTCTGTCCTATCTCAGGAAAAAAGCAAAAGGCACATGAGCCTCCTCAGCCCAACAGCCACTAGGAGTCCCGTTTGCAAAGTGAGCAATGACTTGCCTTTTTGTTTCTTGGCTTCTGGTGTGTGTGTGTGCCTTTGGGCGGGAGGCACTGCTAATCTTCAGCTTTAAAGCTGATGAAACAGCAACTTCACATTAGATAAAAATGTGGGGTGCCAATAACGACAACAGTGATTGACAGCTCTTGGTGCGCCAGATGCTCTGCGAAGTGCTCTGGTCCTTGCGACAGCCCGTCACCCCCACCTACCGACAGGACAGCAGGCGGAGAGGTGCGTGCGTTCCCTGGGTAACATAGTTAAGAGGAGGGGTTGGGATTCAAAGCCGGGTTGGCCTGACTCCAGGGCCTGTCAGAACCAGGGCTCTGCTTCTATGGAGCTCCAGAGGACAAAACCTAGGCCTCTGGGGTGAAATTACCCAAGGAAATGTCTTAGCTGACCCAAAGTAAACCATCTTTTGGGAGAGAGGCCGCTAGAAGGTAGTGAGCTCTTGGTCAGGGCAAGTGTGCAAGTGGCTTCAGCCTCTCTCTGTCAGACATGCCAGAGGAGATGAAATTAAACCCCCAGAGGGTCTTATGACCCTGTCTACAAAGAAAAGAAAAAGAGCCAGAACAATACCTTGCCTGCGTTCAGTTCAGAAATCGCTGCCAAAATCTGCTGCCTGGACCCATCTGTCTTTATGCCCAGCTCCTTCAAGTCGCCATCAGTAAGTGTGAGGAATGCTTCCATATCCACCTGGGGAGAGAGGGGGCATCCTGACCATCTCCTTCTCCCCACCCAGACCTGTCACAATTATGAGCTATTAGTGCTTATTAGCAATGAGTTCATCATGACTTACTACTGCCAGCTCTGGACGTCGCATTTCAAGTTTAGCTGAAAATACCATTAAAATGAATTGCCGGAACCAGCAGGTGGCATGGTGGTTAAGACACTAGACTCTCACATGGCCGACCACAGGTCAAGTCCTGGACCTGGCAGCTGGCTTTCTCACCTTCCCATTTTTTCTCTGTCTGTCTCTTTCTGGTGAGCACATATGCCCCATAGCAAATTTAAAAAACAGTGATAATAATAAATTAAATTAAAATTTTCTTTTAAAAAAAGCAAACAAACAAACAAAAAAAAGTCCCAGCCCTTGTATTGGGTTGTTGGAAATGTTATAATGCATTTCTGCATAGGAAAAAAACAAACAAACAGAAAAATACATCATGACTTTTCCGACAACCCAATATTTTCCAAATAGATGCATTTTGGAAAGACGCTGAAACTGAAACAAGGAAAGTCTTTGAGACGGTAATCTGGGTGGCCAAAATGGGAGAAAGTCAAGCCTGCCATGAGGGTAACGCCAACGGGCTACACAGAAACACACAGGTCCAGGGCAGTACTCACCTCACTTCCCCCACAGACCACAGGGAGATGCCGACTGTGGAAAGACAGAGTGAGAAAATAAGCAGAAGCAGTGAAGGAAAGAAGGCCATGAAGAACAAAGACAGAGAAGGGCTCAGAATTAAGGGCTCAATCCTTGCTTTCTCCAGGTGAAGTCCTTATAGTTCTGTCAGCCTTGCCTGGGTTCTAGAAATGCTCTGGCCTTGTTCTTCTAAGGTAGGGAGGGGAGAAGGTTGGAAGTGGCTCCTATGAAGCAAGTACACTCGCAATCCTCCACGTGGGAAAACAGCCTCAGACACAGTGAGCCAGAAAACAAGCTGGGCACAATTTAATCCTACAGGCTCCATCTTGCTGGCTGGAATGTGGATGTGATGGCTGGAGCTCCAGTAGCTATGCTGGACTTTCAGGACAGGGGGTCACATACACGAGGGATGGTGGAGCAGAGTTGGAAGGAGTCTAGACGACTCAAACTGTCTATGGGAAAAATAACTCTTTATCTTGTTTAATACACCATTGTTTTGTTTTTCTTTTCAATAAATATAGCCTAATCAAATCCATCCCCATAGAGACACAAAGATGAAAATTATGTCTATCTTTACTTTCAACATGGCAAAGAAAGAACATGCATTAACTTCATTCCTCTTCTCAGTTTTCACTGATGACTAGAGGTACATATTAACAGGGAGAAATTTTTTACCAGCACCGAAAGCCACGAAAAGTGTTATCTACAGGCCAGGTACTGTAGGGGGTTCTATGAGGAACCAAGAAGTACTCCTGTAGCTATGGGGACTGCGTTTGGAGGAAAGGGTTGGGGCAAGTAGTGAGGTGAAGACCTCTGTCCCACTAAAGCCACCTTGGAGAACACTGGGTTGAGGATCCATATAGAGGGTGAATTCTACACCACCCATGCCAACCAGCTCTATGCGGCCCCACAAGCGACTAAGTAAAAGGAGGAGACAGCGAAGCACGGCTTCTAACCAAGGAAGGCGCCTGTAGAGACTGAGGCACTGTGTCGGCCAGCCTCATGTCACCTCGCCACACGGACAACTCAGTGGTGGAGTAGCCAGTGGTTTTCGGCCCTCCCCACAACCCTGCCTAGGACCCTGGCCCTCTTCCTACTCCAGAGGCTACAGGTGGGCAATGACAGCAAGCTTCAAGGTCTGTCTTCCCCCATCCCTTCGGAATTCCGAACGCTCTCTGTCTCAGCTGGAACACGCCTCAGCCCCCACCCTGGAACTGCAATGACTTCGAATGATCAAGGACAGTGAGCTCCAGACAGGCCAGCACAAAAAAGGGGATAAAGCCCAAAGCTCAGAATAAGTTCTGCCTCAAACCAGATAGAACATTATCTCAAGAAGCAGTACACTTTGAGATGTGTTCTCTCTCTGCTCAAAGAGGACACGGAACATACAAAACACAAGCTGGCAGCCGTCAGCAATCAGGAAAGATTTTGTAGAGAGCAGACAAATCGCTGCTGAAGTTTAAAATGTCAAGAAGCAAGAATGACAGACTGGAGAGGGCAGAAGAGCAGACTGAGAAAAGCGGCCACTGCACCAGGTCTGTTTCTTAAATAAAGTACAAACTCGGGACCAGCAGATGGCATGATGGTTACATCTCTGGACTCCCACATGGCTGACCATGGTTTGAGTCCCGGACCTGGCAGCTTGAAACTCATGGCAGGCATATATGTATGTGTGCCCAAAGTCCCAAGAGGAGAATGGATGAGAAGGGACTGTGACATGGCCATCCCTCCAGGAGGTGATTTTTCACTTTCTTGTTCACTGTCTCTTTCTCTCTCTCTCCAGAGAATGTACACACCCTACAGCAAAAATTTATTTCAAACAGAAGTACAAACTTCTCAATTACATCTCAAGTTTATAGGGTGACAATGAGTGGTTATGACCATTTTCATGTAGTACACTAGTCACCAGAACGTCCTTGACCAGTGGTTACACCCCTGGGGGTGGTGGGCCTGTAGTGGAGATTTGGCTGAAACAACAAAAGTGTTAATAACATACTGACATCAAATTCATCTGCCACACCATTCATGTGAAATACACAACTCAATGGTTTACAGTATATTCAGAGTTGTGCAACTCTCACCACTCAACTTTAAATCATTTTCATCATCCCCAAAAGAAATCTGGTACCCATTACCCCTCATTTTCCCTTTCCCTAGCCCCTGACAACCACTAATCCACTTCTATCTCCAAGTAGATTTGCATATCCTGGACATTTCAGATACACAGATTATCTGTGGCCTTTTGTGACTGATTTCTTTCACTTTGCATAATGCTTTGAAGACTCATTCCACATGAA